CCCAGGCTGGTAAGCCCCCGGCAGCCATTCCGACACGTGTGGGATCTCCATCAGCGTGAAAGCGGGAATCGCCCCAGGACCCCATGTTCTGCCCAGAGCAGTTATCTTCTGCTCATCAAGGGCCCGAACCAAGGGGGCAGAATGAGACAGGACGGGGCTCCGACCAACCGCACACCACCAGACAGAAACACAGGCTCCTCCGTTGGTAGGTGGGGAAACAGAGGCCCGGGACAGAGGGGAGACACCTCCAGCAGAAAGAGTCACGGGTAACGCTCTGGACGTCTAAGTGCCACTGCCCTGGGCCTGTCTTCCAGGGAGAACAGCAGACTTGCCCTGTGCACGCACGGCTGGCCACGCACACGGCCCTGTCACAGACACCCGTGGGCTCCCACAGCTTGGGCACCGGGGTACAGGCCTGGGTAGGCCGGAGGCCCCAAGAGTTAGCTCTGAGCGTTCACTTAGTTGTCACCATAACCTGCAAGGTATCACACACACACACACACACACACAGGAATACCTATAGCACAAGACAGCCACAGATTCGAACCCAGAGCAGAGCCCAAAGTCCTGCTCTGCTGACCAGCCCGTTCCTGCGTCCACAGTTTATCCTCTCGGGATGGCCGCGAGCGACGCCGTGCTAGCCTGCTGGACATGGCATTCCCGGCACGCCGGGGGCCCCGGCCCTCACCGGATGGCTGTTACGTTTGATTGAGTGTGTGTTTAACCTGGTTTGCTTTTTCTTTTGTCCTTTCTTCTTTGGTCCTGGGGATGGAAGCCAGGACGTGACCCTGGCTCAGCTGTGCGCTTCCCCACTGAGCCACACTGCAGCCCGGACGGCAACAATGCCTGCGCTGGCTTTAGTGAACCTAAGTTCCACAGGAGGAAAGTGGGGGTCCCCAGGGAGGGGATTTTGACCCAACTTGGGGAGAGGTTGGGGGGGGCAGGACGGGAGTGGCCAGTGTCCTGCAGAGACCAGCGCCGCCACCCAGCTGTGCACTGGCCCGACCACGGCCCAGTCCACCCTGCTGGTCCATCAGACGCCGGCCCCCGCCGGGCCGTCAGAATGTGGTGGTAGAGGCCGCGGGAGCGGTCAGGTTACTGGGGGCGCGGCCGTTGGAATGGATTCATGTAGGTGTCACGGGACCTCAGCTTGATCCTGAAAGTGGGGTTGCTAGAAAAAGAGAAACGGGGGCTGGGAAGGGGGCTCAGGGGTCGAGGGCTCGCCTTGAGCTGAAGAGCTAAGGGACAGCGCCCAGGCCCAGAGCTCAGGCCCTACAACCAGACCCCCCCCAAAAAAAAAAGAAAAAGAGAAACTGGCCCCTCACGGATTCTGTGCCACCTGTGGTCACCCTGACACGCCGGCCACGCTGTCAGCCACGGACCACGAGCCCCCGCCCCCACCAGACCCTGCCTGGACCCCACACTACGCGCGACACAAACCTCAGGCTTCAAGAAGTTCCCACAGTAACAGAAAGCACAGGAACAGGTCCTGCGGGGCGCCGACGGCCCGCGGGGGACCCTCTGCCCCCAGGCGGCCGGAGGCCGAGGCCGGCCCCAGCATCGCACTGGCATCTCACCGGGCCTTCCCTGCGCTCCACAGTCACCGGCACGCGCACGCACGCTTACACACACCCGTGTTCCCGTCCACACAGAGCTGGAAGAGGGCATCGGCTCTGCACCCCACACACTGAGTGCGGCGGGACTCTGCACCCGCAGGCTGGGAGGGCAGGGACACCACGCAGCCCCTCTACCTCCCCGGCCTCCAGACCAAGGGAAGAACAAACACGAGAAACAAGTCTGAAGAGAGAGGAGCCCGGCTGCCGCCGCTGCCGCTGCCGCTGGGGCTCTCTGAAAAGCCAGGCCCCACGAGGGAAGTGAGAGCGGACGGAGAGGAGGGTGGAGGGAGGGAGGGAGGGAGGGAAGGGCGGCCTCGGGCATTGGGCAGGGCTGGGAGGGGTGAAAAGGGCAGAGGGGGGAGGGGAGTCGCTGGACGAGAGATGGACAGCCGGCAGGTTCATGCAGCCCCACTGTGGCCAGGGGCCACATGCAGGTGTCCAGGGCGTGGAGAGGAGCTCCACCCAGAGGGCCTGGCAGGGAAGGGGTGGGTGGGACAGTGAAGGCAGTTCCCTTGAGAGGCTGTCAGAAACCCAAACCCTCCAGCCCTTCCCCTGCCTCTCACGTTCACCACCCACCCATATACCCACTCACCTATCTATCCCTCCATCCACCCACCCATATACCCACTCACCTATCCATCCATCCATCCATCCATCCATCCACCCACCCATCCATCTATCCACCCATCCATCCAACCACCCAACTATCCCTCCATCCATCCACCCATCTATCCCTCCATCCATCTACCCACCCATATACTCACTCACCCATCCATCCATCCATCCACCCACCCACCCACCCATCCATCCATCCACCCATCGGTCCATCATCCATCCATTCATCCATCTGTCCATCCACCCATCCATCTATCCATCCATCTGTCCATCCACCCATCCACCTACACATCTATCCATCCATCTGCCCATCCACCCATCCACCTATCCATCTACCCATCCACCTATCCACCAATCTACCAATCCATCCATCCAATCAACAGCTATTAATGGACACCTGTCCTGTCTGGACACTACACAGGACGAGAAGGATCAGATCCCAAGCACAGAGAATCCAACACAAGACAGCAGTGAGGCATGATGGGATGCTGGCAGGAGTGTTCCGGAACCAGGGAGCCAGAGCTCCACCCAGGAAGCGGTTCCCCCCCTTCACCTCCCCGAGAAATGGGGCTGATAATTGTGCTTCTCACGCTCCATTCAGAAAGCAAGATTCTTCCCGGGGCGGAAGCTTCCTGAGGCAGCGAGTGTGGGCCTCACTGCCCTCCTGAGACCGTCCACAGTGGCGATGCGTTGGACGCCATTGATTGGCAGGGATGTGAGACGCATTTTCTTACTCCAGAGCTCCTGGCTCCCACAATTCACTTTCCTTTGTCAGTTGCCGGGCTTGAACTCAGGGCCTGGGCGCTGTCTCTGAGTTGTTTTGCTCAAGGCTAGCGCTCTACCACGTTAAGCCACAGCTCCACTTGAGTTTTTAGATGGTTCATTGGAGACAAGAGTCTCACAGGCTTTCCTGCCTGGGCTGGCTTTGAACCGTGATCCTCAGCTCTCAGCCTCCTGAGTAGCTGGGATGACAGGCGTGAGCCACCGGGGCCTCCCAGAATTCATACTTTGAACAGATCAGGTTGGCTTACAAAAGGTTTTCCAAGCGCACTTTCCCAGGGGTCGTTCAGCTGAATTCACAACACAACACCACCGTGTCTGTCTGTGTAGAACCCCACGGACCGGGGACCGCCGTCTCCCGGGGACGCCCCGGACTAAGGACCGCCGTCTCCCAGGGACACCCCGGACCCGGGACCGCCGTCTCCAGGGGACGCCCTGGACCGGGGACCGCCGTCTCCCAGGGACGCACAGCAGCTCCCTGGTACTCACACCTCCCTGCCTTCACCCCGGGCTGCACAGGCTGTCGGGGGGGGGGGGGGCGGGGAGACAGTCTGAAACAGAAATCACTATCACTGCAGAAGGACCTCTGGTGCTTTAAGGAAAATCAGCGCGCTCTGAGACGCAGGCGCTGCTCTGAGACCAGGGGGCCGAGGCCGGGAGGGGGCAGGCATGCTGGGATCTAGCATGACGTGTCACCACCCTGCTTACATGCCCCAGGGCCCTCCCACGGCCCTGGCACGCTCGCTCTTCTGTCTACCCGGTGTCCCTCCACATGGGCAGAAGCAGAGATGGGTGCCCTTCCCTGCTCAGGACTCCAGAAACCTCCAACAGAGGGAGAAGCCCCGGGTCTCCCGTTCCATTTTCAGATTCGAATTTGCGCTCCAGTGCATCTGATTGCACCAACGGCTCCGCTAGCCGGGCAGCACCTGCCTCCCTCCCCCGCCCCACTTCCGGCCCAAGGAGGCCTGGCCTGGGCTTCGGAGCTCAGAGAAAGAAGGCCCTGGGCTGGGCCTGGGCCTCCACAAGTCTCCCCGGGGGGCCACCCATGCCGAATCAGGGTCTTCTGAGCCAAGAAGGCAGCAGGGCCTGAGGTCCTGAGGCCAAGGTGGGACCGGCCCCCACCCCCACCCCTGGAGGCCAAGTCTCCAGGTGGGGCCGTGCCGGGCTCCCAGGAGGGGCCGGGGTCTTGTGATCCCACCTGGGTCCTGGGAGACATGCCGGGAAGGGGTCCACCTTCCTCCCGCCTTCCTCTGCCCCAGGACCCCGGCAGGGACGTGGGGAGATGCGCCCCAGACCTCCACCCGGCCAGCGTGGCAGGTGCCGCGCATCTTCCCGCGCCAGGCTGGCCGCCCAGGTCCTTCCTCCCGGGCTCCCAGCTGGATCCCGCCCGCCCCGGCCCGCACCTACCCACGCCGAGCAGTTCCTTGTCGGTCCTGCGCCAGGGGGCCATGGCTGCCCGGGCCTGGTCCTCCCGTGGGGAACCGGCAGGGGTGGCAGGGCTGCAGGCCCACTTCCTTCCTCTTCGTGAACTCTCAGGGCCCGCCCTCCCCTCACTTCCCTCCCTCTGCTGCCCGCAGCAGGCCAGATGGCTGCCAGGGACCCGGCTCTGAAGGCCACCCACTGGTGTCTTCCCCAGGTGAGTGGGCCCGCCCGGATCACCCCGGGGGCAGTTTCCTGGATCTCTGAGTGTCCTGATTGCACAGCTCCTACCTTCCCTGCGCAGGACTGTGCTTCTGCGGCAAGCGCCCACCGACCCCAACTCAGGCATGCATCATGATAGGAGCCCGGTGGGTATCCCCGCCACCATCCTAGGCCTTTGCAGGGATGACCGGAGTGAACTACCAGGACAAGCCCCCACCCACATTTGTGGTGTCTTTCTAAATGCTGTGGTTGGAGTAGGCGCGCCTCCATCTGTCTCCGTGACCGTTGATCTGTCAACTCGATGGGCTTCAGAGGTGTCTTCTGATGAGGGCATGTTAGACCTCTCCACTTGCAGGGAGTTTGCTCTTCTTGCGATCCTAGACCAAAAGACGCATCAGCGAGACAGCTGCTGAAGTTTGTTAAGATCTGTAGATTGAAAAAAATGAACCCTGTCAATGTTTCGTTTTCTTTAGTTATTTGGTCTTTGGGCTTCGGTTGTTGAGGATATTTTAATTTAAAAAATCTAACTAGGCACAAGCGGCTAATGCCTATAATCTGGGCTACTCAAGAGCCTGAGATCTAAGGTTGGAGGTTCAAAGCCAGCCCAGGCAGCAATGTCTGTGGAACTCTTTTATCTCCAATTAATCAGCAAAAACCTGGAAGTGCAGCCGTTGCTCAATTGGCAGAGCATTAGCTTTGAGCCACTAGCTCTCAGGGACAGTGTCTGGGTTCAAGCCCCAGGACCAATAAGTGTGTGTGCACATGCACACACACACATACACACAAAATCTAACACAGACTGAGTATCCCATATTAAAATGCTCAGGACCAGGGCTGGGAAGGTGGCTCAGTGGTAGAGGGTTTGCCTTGCATGCATGAGGCCCTGGGTTTGACTCCTCAGTACCACATAAGCAAAAAGAAAAAAGCCGGAAGTGGTGCTGTGGCTCAAGTGATAGAGCGCTAGCCTTGAGCTGAAGAGCTGAGGGACAGCGCCCAGGCCCAGAGTTCAGGCCCCCCCCGACTGGACCTCCCCTCCCCCCCCAAAAAATGCTCAGGACCAGAAATGCCTCATGTATTTGTAAATACATGATAGATTTGGGATGGAACCTAAGTCTAAGCGAATTCATTCGTTCCACGCTTTCATTTTCCCGAGGGGAGCTTTGTGTGCTGCACTGGGGTTATATCCTGGCCCAGGGACCCGGTGCTGAACTTTTAGTTCTTTGCTTTCAGACCAGGGCTGGCCAGCTAGTACCTGCTGTGTCCTTTGGTTTGGAGCACACGTCTTCTCCAGGTTCTCTGGTGGCTGGGCAGGGGGGAGGAAGTCCTTTATGTCATGGTTTTGTACAGTTCTAGTTTGGTTTTGCCTGTTTAAGTCAGGAAATTGAGGGCATGTTTACAAGGTTCCCCCCCTCTCGGTGGGTGTGAGGAGGTAGTGTGGTTGATAAGGCCTCGATACTGTAGCCCGCACTGGCTTTGGACTCAGATCCTTCTGCCTCAGCCTCCTAAGGGCTGGGTTCCAGGTATGCCCCACCACACCGGTGAGAGAATTACAGGTGCGTCCTCTGTCCACGGTCCAGACTCATCTATGTTGGCAGTGCTGGGCACGGAGCCCAGAGCCTCCCCCAGCCTGTCTCATCAGCAGTTTCTGTCGTCATGGTGGGGTCCTGGGAAGAGGTCCTGAGTCCTCTGTGATTTTGCCTGATAAGGTGGATACTCTGTCTTTACTGTAGTGAAATGCCTGAGGCAGGCTAAGTAAAACCGGTCCATTTCCCTCACACTTCCCGGGCCTTCTTCCCTGTACCCCTTATCACGGGCAGGCCCGTGGACACATCGGGGCCCAGGCCTCCTCTCCTCTATGAGCCCCCAGGCCCTGAGTCAGGCTGCTGCCCTGCCAACCTCATGGCGTCCCCATCGGCTCCGGAGCGGCGCTCAGGTTACAGCTGCACCGGGGTCTTCAGCGGTGGCCTTTCCAGAGTCCCGTGCCGCTCAGGGAAGAGCACACTCGAGCATGCTGGCTGCTCTTCATGTCATTTTCTACACAATGTCACTGGCAGAGGCAAATGTACCTTTGGACTTCATGTCTGTATTTCCTTTGTCTAATTATATTATTAGCAATAGGAGAGAATGATCTCAAGATCGGTCTTGTTCTTCTTACATGACTGGGAGAATACATTAGTGCATCAATGGGGCTTAAGTTTTCCCTGTGGAAAGGATTTTAAGTAACGACTAACAGCTCCGTTTAGGGCTTCTGGTGAGCGGTTGCCACTCCCCAGCTCCCCCACACAGTGACTCTGTGTGCTCTCCTCTGTCCTGACGTTAACTCACATTTTCCCTTTTTGACTTCATGGGCAGGAGTTTGTCAATCTCGTCAATGGGTTTAGATAACGTGCTTTTTTTCTTTGTACATTCTCTATTATGTACTGGTGTATCAACTCATTGAATCTTGATGGTCCAACGGCTACGTTTAGGTTTTAAATCTACACAGGGAAACACACCGCTAATGTATCAAAATTACTTGTCTCCCCTGCTTGAGTCATAAAAATCTAAGCTGTGTAGATGACTACGGAGACTAAGAAATGTGCTTTAAATAAAGAAAACCTGTAACTACATATGCTTTCAAACAAAAGTCTCTATTTTTACAACAGCGAAAAACTAAGGTCATAAAAATTGCGGAAAGGAAAATACAGTATTTAACAAGGTCAGCGTTCTCTTTTTAAATGTGATCACATCACTTGAAAGTTTCACATCCAAGACAGAAAATAGACGTACATTAATGATCATTTTCCTTCTGATAATAACCAGTTCTCTGTGATTCACAGAAGCCCTGGGAGGGGCCATCGCGTGGGATTTCTCAGGTTAGCAGTGCAGCCACAGGGAGGGGTGCTGCCAAGCGTCTGCCAGCCGGTGTGAACCTCGGGCGGCCACCTCCCGGCGGGGACGCCTGGCCCTGGGGGCCCGACTACTGCTGTGCGCACTGTGCCTGCGCCGCCCCCGGCTTGGAAGACACGTACATCACGGGGTGTGACTTCTTACACGGCTCCTTTCCCACCTTGACTGAGTTTTCTTCTTCTTCCTTAACTTCTGCTTGAAGCCTTGAATCAGCAGCTAACCTGTAGGCATCAAAATATCCACTCTGAACTCAAAGGTGGTTAAGAAAAATCCAAGACCAAACCCTGGCAGTATAGCCAGATCGAGGGGCAGGGCACTGCTTTTTAAAATGTTTGAAAGACTTTTTTATATTAAGTACCTTAATTTTATGACATGTTTAAGAAACATCTTTAAGGTTGTTTTAAAAAACAAAGGGGGCACCTGGTAAAGCCTAAATTAGAGAATAAACTAAGCAGGTACCTACAACAATAAGCACACGTAACACAAGATTAACATGTGCAGGCCTCACAGTGAGGTCGACTTGGCATCAAGGTGGAACACAAGGTACGAACAAGTGGGCCCTGGGCCGAGCCAACCGATGTCCATTTGTCACACGCAATAACAAACCAATTACCAGCATCATAGTTAAAGCAAAAGTTAACAGCGGCACTGGTGTCTCACGCCTATAATCATAGCTACTCAGGAGATCTAGGAACCTCAGTGGGAAAGCTGAAGTTCTCAAGCAGAAAAGTTCTCGAGATTCTTACTAGCCAAGAGAGAACAGGGCCCTGGGTCCGAGCCCCAGAACCCACACAAGAAAACGCAGATGGAGCAGTGGCCTCCAAAGGGGCGGTGAAGGTGTGTTGTAGGGAAGGCGTGGATTGAGGCTGTGAGCACTGACAGCAAGGCTCCCGACAAAGCCGTCCTCGCTGTGACTAACCCCCAAAATCAAACTGTGTCTAAGCGCGCAAAGCACAAAGCCAGGAAACACACACACACACACACACACACACACACACACACACACACACACACACACACACACACACACACACACACACGTCTTCTCCTATTTTCTATGTGCTTAACCAGCAAGACAAAAAAATTCCAGCATGTAATTTGAGTCCAACAAATGGCCACATACATTTTTTTTCCCTGAAACAAAATAGGCCAGAAAAAGAAACGGAGGCAACGCAGATGGTAAGGGCCCTAGGGCTGCACCGCAGGGCCGGAGCTCTACCTGCAGACAGACACACGCCCACCAGGATCGCCAGCAGGCAGGACCCCGGCCGTCATGTGACAGACACCCCGGGAAGGGAAGGGAAGCCTCGCCTCAACACCTGGCTCTGTGTCTCTCCCAGAGACAGAGACCCTCACAGGACGCCCCCCCAGCCAGCCAGAGACAGAGACCCTCACAGGACGCCCCCCCCAGCCAGCCAGAGACAGAGACCCTCACAGGACACCCCCCTGGCTCTGTGTCTCTCCCAGAGACAGAGACCCTCACAGGACGCCCCCCCAGCCAGCCAGAGACAGAGACCCTCACAGGACACCCCCCCAGCCAGCCAGAGCTGCATCTGGAGGCTCGGCTGTGAACGCCAGGCACGGCTGGGGCCGGGGCTGGGGCCGGGCCCTGCAGAGACCTCTTCACTGGGCACAGCCGGACCCCGCACGCACAGCTAGCTAGCTACGTCCCTCCCTCCCTCCCTCCCTCGACCACTTCTTAAAAAGACAAAGCCCTTTGAACATGAAGTCCTTCAGATACATACGCCCGACTTTCTCTTTGAATTACAAACTCAATTATGCAGAAAATAAAGGCTTTGAAGTTTTAGAAAAATGAAAATAAATTAGTCTTATATTTAAAAAAGCCAAATATGTATCAAAGCCCATTTCTGAAGAGTTAATACACATGACATCAAAAGCCATGAAAAGTCACCTGTTTTTATAAACTGAAGTGTCTTAAACCACTAGAGCGCCCTCTGAGCAGGTAAGTTAGCCTTTCTTTCATCACTGCTCTTGCACACGGGAAAACAAACGCTGCAATATTCCCATTTCACCAAGAGGGAGTCCAGCCTTGGGATCCCTCCTCCCCTCTGCTATCACTTTCCTTTCTGTCTGGACAGGCTGAGGGCAGGCAGAGACACTGGGGAATCACACCACAGGCAATGCAAGACAGCAGACAGGCAAGGCATGGTGCAGCTCCTGCAAGGGGGGTGGGGGGCTGGGAGCGGGGGAGGGCTGCCCACCGCGGGCAGGCACAGACCTGGCGGAGCTGAGAGGGGGAGGGGGAGGGCTGCCCACCGCGGGCAGGCACAGACCTGGCGGAGCTG